TCTCTGCAACCCCAAGGAGTGGTCCCTCCGACATCAACGCACTCACCCCCCCCCCTCCCACCTGGATGGGCCGCAGCCCCGCGTTCTCCGCCAGGGTGTAGGGCACCACCTCCAACGCCTCCGCAAACGCGCGCACACAGTAAGACTCCATGCCCTGACGCCGGGCGGGGTGAGGTGCGTGAAGGGGAGAGGACGCGGTGGGCGGTGGGCGGGGCGGCGGCGGCGGCGGCGGCCCCCCAGGGTGGCGGGGGGCGCGGGGGAGAGAGCGACTAGAGAGCATCCGGCCCGGCGCCCGTTCCCCTTCAGGCGCGGCTTAGAGACACAATCTCCGGACGCGCGCGACGCGCACTGATATGCATAACAGTGCATCGACGGCGGCCGCGCGGGGCTGCGCGTTGAAGCGCGGAGCCGCGTGTGGCTGATGATGGTGCTGCATCGAGGGTCGCACCTGCAGCGTCTTGGCCCACTTGCTGAGCTGGTGGGTGACCTCCACCTCGGGTGCGCTGCCGCCCGCAATCAGGAACCGCTTCTGTGAGGGGGAAATGCGGATCAGATCCAGGGTTGTAATTAGCTTTAGGGTGAGAACAACAAAGGTGTGTTGATCAGGGTAACTAAGAAAATTGGGAAAGTGTGGGGTGTAAGGTGAAACTGAGCGTTGAAAATAGGATTGAGGGGTGAATTTCTGCGGCGTCCCGCGGTTGCCCGCTTTTTGGGGAGCCATCCAGCGGAGCGACCGAGAAGTGGCGTTGTGCGTGTGGCCGTGTATGTGCATCTGCTGCAGGCGCGAGCGCTTCCCGGCGCGGCGTGGGGGCAGGCGGGGGCGGCTGGCGTCACAAGGGTGCCGTCGGTGTCTGCGCCGCGGGCGGCGCCGCAACGCCCCATTCCTGCGCCGTGGCGGGCGGCGCATCAAAGGGATTCCAACCTCAACACCAATCCCAGCACCACACACACACACACACACACACACACACACACACACACACACACACACACGCGCGCGCGCGCGCGCGCACCCAGCACCCCCTCCCCCACCTGCACCAGGCAGCGGATGCAGCAGAGCGCGCCGTGCAGCACGACTTCCCCAGCAAAAACACACACACACGCGCGCGCGCACGCGCGCACACGCCCATCGTCCCACCTGCACCAGGCAGCGGATGCAGCACAGTGCGTCGTGCAGGGAGCGGTCCGCCTCGTCCAGCACGAGCATATCCGAGGCCCCACCAACACTCTCAACACCACTCCCAACTTTACCCCCACACACACCCACTCAAAAAAAACACCCACACACCCACACACAATCACCCTCTCTCTCTCACACACACCACATGTCCCCGACATACACACACACGCCCATCGTCCCACCTGCACCAGGCACCGAATGCAGCAGAGTGCGTCGTGCAGGGAGCGGTCCGCCTCGTCCAACACGAGCCGGTTGGAGCCGCGCAGCAGCACGGTGGCGGTGCGGCCGCGCGCCTGGATGCCCGTCACCTTCACCACCCGCCCCTTGCCGCACTGGTGGGTGGGTCGCGGGGTGATTCGTGTGGGCGGAGGGGTTGACAGGGCGCCGGCGGGAGGGCGGCGGGGCTGGGAGGGGCAGGGGCCCCGGCCGGAGGGGCGCGGGGGTCGCCGCGGCAGCAAAATCGGGCCGGCATTGCAGGGGCGGGGTGACATCATCGCGGGGGCGGGGTGACGTCATCGCTAGGGCCAGGTGACGTCATCGTGACCTCACCTCGACGTCCTCCACGAGGTCCGCGCTGCCCAGCTTGTCCGGCCGCATGTGGTCCGGGTGGGCGATGGGCAGGCAGCCCTGGCGGGGGGCGGATGAGTTGCGATGGCCGGGGGTGAGGGGAGAAACATGTGGGAGCTGGAGAGACGCTGTGTCGCCGACGAGTTGGACGTTGCGCCGTCGACACTGTCGCCCTGCCGCCTGTCCCCCCGCC